GGGGCGGGGGGGGGGCGGGCGCCCCCCCCCTGTGCCACCGGCCACGCGGAGGCAGAAGCGACTGCTGCTTTACAGGCTAAGGCGGATCCGCCGAACTCCTGCCGTGGGCTCCTTTTCCCGAACGCCACCACAGCTTCCCTCCTCCCTACCTTATTCAAAGCATGCACGGGAATGTGGGAGGCTTCGATGTCCTTCAGGTCTCTCTCGGCATCGTATTTGAGATCATTGGAGACGCTGAACCTGCGAAGCGAGACGTGGGGCTGGTTATCGCCTCAGGAGATAGTCCGGGCACGGGGGGTGATTAACAGCTCTGACTAAAGCACCGGGAGGTGCGCAAATCCGCCGCGTTTCCAACTGCCCACACACCTCAACGCACGATCCTGCCGCTTACGACAAGCTGCGTGCGTTCTGCAGTGAAACCCCACGCTCCAGGGGCTCGAGTCTGCACCTGGGAAGCCCACGAATACCCCTCCCGACTTGAAAGAGCGCGGGGTAGGCTTGACACTGCGCCCCAAGTAGTGCGTAATCCGCTATTTCACAGTGACTCATTCCCCATCGCTGCTGCAGGGGAAATATTCCCATTTCACAGACAGCAAACAGGCACAAAGAGGTGGAAACGACTCACCCAAGGCCACAGCATGAGTCAACCATAAAGCCAGCATCAGCACTAAGGAATTCCTTACTCCCAGATCCAAACTAACTCCAAGGTCTTACGGGAAAAGAGAAAAAAAAAAAAAAACCCCAACAACTTACCACAGAGCTTTTTTCCTCCCTTTAAGATAATTTTCAAAGATGATGCCCGCAACTGTCCGGCCCTTTCCGACTCCAGCACCGTCCCCAATGAGGAACCCAGCTCGCTGCCCATTGGGTAATAAAACTTCATGTTGCTGCAAAATCAAGAACAGAGCTGGAAATTAAACCAGATTTGTCTTTGATGTGAGCTTCCAAGAGCAGCACTTAACCCTTCCACACATCCCCTCGCTGTGAGCGCATTTCCTGCTCAGAAGAGCGACGGCAGGAACGGCCACGCGTCGTGGCCAAGCTCAGCAGTGGCAGTTCACGGAAAAGGCCCCCAGGCCCCCAAAACGTAAAGCACTCCCCTCTGCAACAAAAGTCAAGGTTCTTGCCTCTTTGGGAAACAACCCCACAGAAGTCCCCAGCTTCAAATAACCCTTTCAAAAGGCATTTAAAATTCCATCTGCCAAAGCTTCCCGAGTTTCATCACCTATATCACGGGTTATTTCAAAAGGCAGTTCCCTTCTAGTGTGAGACCTGGAATCCAGGCAAGGCGGAGGCACGTACCTGGCAGGCATAAACGATTGCTTCCAGCTGTAGTGCAGAGAGTGACCCTTTGTCGGCAACGGAGCACGGCAGGGAAAGGCTGTAGGTGATGTCGGGTGGGGGGACGCTGGACAGAGTGCTCGTTTCAACCACGAGGTCAGGGTGGTGCTTCCCAATCTTGGCTAAATGACAAGACAGAAAACAGATAACTCAAGATCTTCACGCCCACGGGGCACCTCAAAAAGGACTGCAGACCTCGGGTTAACAGTCTGTAGCCCTGCTCAGAACAGGAGAGACAAGCCTGACCCCTGCTCTTCACTCTTGTGTTCCGCTGAAATTACAGGTTGCCAAAACCAAGTCATGCCGCCCCCAAAACCAAGCAACATTAACAAATTCTGTTAAATTAGCGTAGCACCAGCAAAGGATCAGTCCACTGGTAAAGTTTTTCTAGAAAAATCACGATCTTGGGACGTGCCATGGCAAACACCATATCCTGCTTGCAGGAAAATAAGGGAGCAGCTAATTAGGTTGGTCCACAGTGGAGTTAACAGAACTTCCCACACTCAGGCGATGGCAAGACACTCACACTTTGAAGGGATGTATTCTGCATAGGTCTCCGTTTGCCCCAGCTCTTCTGTTTCTTCCTCCTCACCTTCATCCTCCTCATCGGCAGGAGCCTGAGACTGAACAGAAACAGAGCACTGACCAAATGTTCTCGTTTTGCTACAGACACACTCAGTGCTCCCCGGGGCCAGAAACCACCGTTTAAACCATCCCCAGGGAAATTCACAGACCCCTCAAACACAGTTCATCCCGTTAACGGACTGGGGCGAGACAAGAGACCCCCCTGCACGAGCCCACCCCGGGGGCCTCAAGAGCTGCTTTCAAGGCCTCGTCCGCACCGGACCAGGGAAAGCCGTTTACAGCCCTTTTCAGACGGGCCATGGGCTAGCGGCCATCCTGCCCAGCCGTGCTCTAATCCGGCCCTGAGCAAGGGAGCTGGGCCAGCTTTAAACCCAGCCCGGTCCCCAGCAGCACAAAGCCAAGCTGTGAAAGCCCAAATCGTTCTTCAACACGGCGAGGTTCCACCGAGGGAAACACAGGACACTTCAGGGGAGGGGCAGTGACCCGTACCCGTCTGATCTTCTTGTCTCGCTCCCTCTGAAGGGAGAACGGCCAGAACTGCTCCCCTCCCCACCGCGGTGGCACCCGGTTAAGGGCCCGGTGCCCGATCCCGCTGAAGCCAACCACCGTTCTCACCTGGTAGCTTATGAGGAGCGGGGTGTTGGGGACAGCAGGAGCATGGTCATTGGAACTGTTTAAGCCAGGGAAGGATCGCCCGGGTGAGAACAGCTGGAACAGAACGGGTGCAGGTGAGAAGGCAGCCTTAACCCTCAGCCCTCCCCCCCCACCAGTATGAAAGCACAGTAACAGTGAAGACACTCGTGCTGTGTTCTCGGGTCTCAGGCTCTGATGTGGTCAGTGGACTTTAATACTTTCTGTTTGCGATGGAAAGCCCTGGGCAATAATTCTGGAAACTACTAAATCTCGCAAATGCCGTACATGCCTTTGTCAACATCCACACAGGGAATGACTGACCAAGGTAAAAACGTTCTTGCAAGAAGTGTGAACGTGCTGCACGTGTGCCCGCGGGCGGTGAAAGCCTGCGGGGACACACGTCCTCCCACACCTGCGGGACAGAGTCTCTCCACCACAGTTGCAATAACTACAGGGCATTAAGGTGGGTCACCCCGAAATGCCACGTCTTCCCTCGAAACGTGAGATCTCGGGCACAAGCCCACCTTCCCTACGCCTCCCGCTAGCACCAGCAGATCTCCTGTGCAAACACTGCCGCTTTCAAAGGACTCTTCCAAGCCAGCAGTCCCTGCCAAGGCTGATGGAAGCGTCCTACGGGAACATGGGACTCGCTCTGCGCTGGAGCAGTCACGGTGGGTCAGCACCAACTAACAGCTGCCCCGAGGTCAAGGGCCGCTACCCTTCGCCTGCGACCGCCAAAGCCTGCGCGCTTCCAGCTGCCCCTCAGGCTCCCCTCGCTCCCCGAGACAGGACCACTGGTGAGGTTCCCCACCGCAGAGACCAGGCACGAGGCCCAGGAGCTCAAACGGCACCGAGACCCCCAGCAGGCCAGCGCCGGTGGGGGCAGGCTGCCGGCCGGGTCTCTCCAGGCGCCAACTGCTGTGTCAGAGTTACTGATGGCTTTGGACCATCCAGCCCGCCGCCCCGCAGCCAGCTAGGAGAGCTCCCAAGACACTCCTGGCTGGGAAGGTACAATCGAGGAGACCCTTTGTCTGCCCCCACACAAACAAAATCACACTGGAATTTCCCGACAGCGAGCAAGGTCAAGCCAGCAGCTCATGGCATCCAAAGCAATCAGCAACTCCAGAGGCAGCACTACTTCAAGTTCACAGCCTGCAAAGAGTGCCAGACTTACAAAGAGACCCATGCTCCACCAGCAGAAGTGAAAGATGGGAAGTTCTTAAGCATAAACACTCCAATTATTTCCTTTTTTTAAAATTAAAAAAAAAAAGAAGAAGAAAGAAAAAAACACCCTCCATTACTGGAAGCCTGAGTCAGAATTACCAGAAGGAAGCTGGACGGAAGAGCTATTTTCAGTGCCAACAAATCTGGAGAGCAGGTGAAACATCTCCACCTAAATCTGAGCTCAGTATAAGCGTTTCTTCTGAGGCAAGAGAAAGGCCCAGATCTGCTGGCACAGCAGGACCCGCTCCTCGCAGTTCTAGCGGGGGAAAGTCAACGCAGGTCCGGTTCTGCATCACGCTGTCTTCAAAGCATAAAGCCCTGCTACCCCGATTCAGCCGCGGGGCTCTGGCACCCAGCACGTCACCTCAAAGGAGGCGCCAGGAGCCTCGGCCGGCGGGAGCACTGAAAAACGAACCACGTAGGTGGGAACACGCTGCGAGGGCCGGTCCAGGCGGGAGCAGGAGCTCTAGTGGGTGACAGATCATCCTGCCCCTGACTGAACTCGTACAATTCCTTCCTTCCTCTACTCTCGCTTCCCTCCCGGTTTGGTTTTCTCCTTCCTCTACACTACAGGTCTCAAAACACTAGCAGAAGAGGCCCACACACGAGAACCCCGGGATGTAAGCAGGAGAGGGACTCATTCAGGAAGG